GTATATATATATGTGTGTATATATATATGTGTATATATATATATGTGTGTGTATATATATATGTGTATATATATATATGTATGTATATGTGTGTGTGTGTGTGTGTGTGTGTGTGTGTATATATATATATATAATATATTTTCTTACATGGTATTATAGCATTAACAAGGTGCTGTATCTGTGTGGATGAGCTAAACTTGATTATAACAAAAGAGGTTAAATCATGTCATCTGACCAGTTTCTTTAAATGAGAAATGTTTCGTCCCCCATCAAGACTTCCTCAGTCTATGGCCTAGGACTGAAGAAGTCCTCCTGATGGGGGACGAAACATTTCTCATTTAAAGAAACTGGTTCAGATGACATGATTTAACCTTTTTTTGTTGTAATCTACCTGGAACCCTTTAAAAAAAACAATTTGATAATATTTAGAAGAATACTGAGCGGTAACTGTACTGTGATAAATGTAATTTAATAAATGATCAAATAAGAAAATAAGTAGTATTAATTTGGGGTGCTGGTGTAACTGATGAGTATAAAAACAATCTGCACAGACAGCTCGGGGCAGATTCTCCTGACTGGTCTTCACGTATACGTCCTGTATATCTGTGTATACTTCCTGTATATCTGTGTGTACTTTCTGTATACCTGTGTAACCTGTCCTGCAAATCTGACCTTGCAAGTAAAATACCAATTAAAAATGTATTTCTGCTGTATTCCTTGGAATCATCTGGCTTGTTGTCGCTGTTGTCCATTGTTGTCATCACTCTTTGTTGAAATCAGGTCTCTCTTGTAAATGAGTCCTCGAGGCTCAATGGGATTTACTTATCTAAATAAAGGTTGAATGAATTCAGTTGAAATGTTAGCTGGAGTGTTAAAGTCTTCGTCAGACTTGAATGCGAATACAATTGATAAAAAATGGTGGTGATTTTGGTACCGTTGTGTTTTTTTGTTTTGTAGTGTGTACACGGGTAGTTATTTTGTGCATTTATCACTCGAGCAACTGTTTTTGCATCATTTAAAAAAACTAAGACGATGATATATAAAGCCTGTGTGTGTAGTATTATTATCACTGTATGTGTGACCAACTCATGTCTACTACGACGAATCCTGCTCGCCCCATTGCTCTAATCCCGCAATCAGTCTTCTATGACTACATCTTCAATGGGAAACGTGACGAAAAATAGCCTTTCCACGTGAGGAAGATGGCTGTACCTTGAGTCACTGTTCAAGGTACCATACGCACGATGTTCTGTGGTCCTGGCTTAATTCATCCATCCATCCATTATCTTTACCCACTTATTCCATTTTGGGTCACGGGGGTCACCGTGACCCAAAAATCACTGTGTGAGGGGCGGGGTACACCCTGGACGGGTCGCAAGTCCATCACAGGGACACAGAGACAAATGAGACAAACAACCATTCACTCTCTCCCTCACACCTAGGGACAATTTAGAGTTACCAATCAGCCTAACATGCATGTTTTTGGTCTGTGGGAGGAAACCGGAGCACCCGGAGAAAACCCACGCATGCACGGAGAGAACATGCAAACTCCACACAGAAAGGCCCCTGGACCGGGGTTTGAACCAAGGACCTGCTCGCTGAGAGGCAGCAGCTCTACCAGTTGCGCCACCGTGCTGCCTTGGCGTAATTCATTTTCATTTTATTGTTTTCCTTCCAAGTTTAAAACTGGCTAAAAGGCACGCTGCCACTGAAAATATACAGGCTGCTATAAGGGTTTGTACAAGAATGAGTTTTGCGCAACCAAAGCATGAGAGGTGATCAGTGCGCTATTCACAATACCGTGGTTAAAAAAACCTGACACTTATTTGACTTGGATGAAAACTTTTGCCTCTTTCTCAATACTCCACTCTCTGACAAATACAGATAAAAAGAGTTAGACAAAACATGAAGTTGACTGAACTACCTCTTCAAGCACGAACTTCCTCCTCACAACTTGTTAACTTGAACAGAAAAAACATGATAAACAATTTAATTCTATTTGCTTAGAATCAAAATTAGTCTGGAACTGTGAATAATCTGAGGAGAGTTTGGATGTTTAATCTAAAGAGACATGATCTGGATTTGGGGGAAGACCAACAGGAATAACCTGGTTAGCCAACATATCTGAAAAACACATTTACAGGTAAACTTTAAGATGTTTGGTTGGTCGTCTTACCTCCACTCTCTATGAGCACATCCAAAAGTTCATCCATCTGCTGACTGCGGCTCAATTGCTGTAAAAGGAATAAGTGAACAGTTTTTAGTTTTTAATGTTTTAAACAACAAAACTACATCTAATGGTTTTACATTAAAGACTATAATTCACATTTGATCACATATATTTCTGGTGAACCAACAAGTTTGATCACTTTAAAGAGATCTCGGACTTGTTGGAACAATAGACATTTTCTGATCAACAGTTACTTGAGAAATGAAAAGGAAAAACACTGTAGGCTGTTAATTGTTTAAATAATGTTTTAACTGATTAATAATACACAGACATCGACAATTCATTTACACTGCAATGCATTCTGGATAAATGATGTAGACAGGTTGATCTGGTGTGAGCTCCATCAAGCTTAAATGTTCATTTTGGATACTATTTGACGTTCCGCCCTTTAATTTGAACCAGAGTGCACTGACAGAGAAAATACACAAATAATTATCTTTTTGTTAGCTATTTTCTTCTTCTTTCGGCTGCTCCCTTCTTCAGGGGTCGCCACAGCAAACTAATTAGCACGAAGACTTATCCGTTGTTTTTACACTGGATGCCCCTCCTGACACGACCACAGACCACTGAGCTACCACAGCCCTCTGTGTGGAGCAGAGAGTTGCTATTTAGGGTGCCCAGGGGAGCAGATGGTGGGGGTTAAGGGCCTTGTTCAAGGGTTCAAGGGTTCAAGGCCAAGAGTGGGGCAAATGAGGGTGGAGGCAGGTGTGGCTGTTTCACCTTTCCCACATTTTGATATTGTCGGTATGGGAAGTCGAACCGGTGGCTTTCTGATCATAGGCCCATCTTTCTTGCCTCTGCGCCACCACTCCCTCATATATACATATATGTATGTATGTATGTATGTATGTGTGTGTGTATGTATGTATGTATGTATGTATGTATGTGTGTATATATGTATGTGTGTATACAGTATATATCATATAAAAGACGACAGTGCTGGAGCTAAGATTTATGACAACTGTGGATTAATGCTTCAAGCTTACCACCTGTCATACAACAAACCATATTGTCACAATGAGAAACTTTAAACTAGTACTGTAAATGTGTAATATAGAGAATACCCCAAATCGTTTTTTAGATTTAACGTTGTAAGGCAACAAACTGGAGTGAAAATCGTGAATACTTTCGCAACCCACGGTGCTTTGTTAAAACCAACTGTTGCTTCTTTGTATTTACTCGTTCATGATCTACTTTCAGTCAAGCGGCAACCAGGTCTCTGTAGAAGGACGAGCATGTCTCCTATCTTGTGATTCTGAAGTTTAAGGCATTGATGAGACTTCGGGTCCTGTCAGATTTAGAAGAAACAAAAAGTTCTTTGCAGGGGCACAGATTTATTCCCATGTTTTAGTTGCTTGATTATTTTATTTCATTTATTCATTCATTTATTTATTTTCACTTTTCACTTAAATCTTTCTGTTAATAGCGTAGACCAGCTCCTCCTGTCAAATGATTTTATTCTAACAGCACTTGGATTTATTTGAGTCTGAGCAGAAAAAATCTTATAAAATTTTGAAAATACAGAGTTTGCCTTCCTGAACATAGAGCATGCAGAATATTTGCCTTTTGTGTGTGTGGAAAAAAAGAGCTTGAAATGAAATAGCATCATTAGTTTTAGGATGGTAACGTCAGTGTGGCAGCAATAATATCAAAATATAGGTGAGCCATACTTGAAGTAAACTACTTTCTACTTTGCAAATGGTGGAAAGTTCATGCAGGAAACAAAGAGATGGATGAAACAAAACAAACGAAGCACAGCTGATAGAATTTTAAAAGAGAACAAAAGAGGAAATTAGAAAGTGGAGCAACGCCACAAAGTAAAATCCTTGGCCAGCCATCTTCAATCAAATTTAGCACAGATTTGAGTTTACCTGCTTGACTGCATCCTCATAGCATGGGGGCTGTCTTAAGTCAGATGCATGTGACTCTGAGCTACTGAAGGCAGGGGGAGAGACCTGGCACTTTTGGCCAACATGCCGGGAAGACGGCAATACTGACATCTACATGAGAAATAAGTGAAAAGTGATGTTAGCATGTTGTAGGGGAGTTTACAAAACTGAGAGATGCAGAAACAAAGACCAAAACTGAGGCCTTCATATGTGAACAATCTGGTCACATTAAATCTGAACTAAAATTGAACTGGCGTTGGAAAAGAAAAAAGTCTCGGTGTGTCAGAGTGGGACGACGAGCGATTAAAAACCTCACAACAAACAAGGATTTTACGATCAGAGACAGATCAGAAACAAACAGAAAGGAGGGAAATAATCACATGGGTGTGGACTGATTCTGCACAAGACACAGCTCTGATGTGACAACTCTGTAAACAGTTACCTTCGGTTGCATGTTCTGGCTCTCAGTCTTGGTGGAGCCGTTATGGTTTGGGCCACAGTCAGTAGAGCCTGGAAACACTGTCTGAAGGCTTCTTTGGTCAGAAGGATAAGGACAGTTCATCTGCTGGCTTCCACTTCTTTGCTGCATCTGCAGTTAGCATCACAGAACATCAGAACAACAAATAAAAACGTATAGATACCCGCACATTGTTTTTACATATCTCCAGTGTAGTCCTCCCGGGCTATGTGCTTAGTCCACAGCGTTTCACTTTTTTCACTCTGACACATGACTGAGCAGTAATGAACAGTTTTAACCACATCATCAGGTTTACTGATGAGTAACTATTCCACCCTGCAGCAAGAAACAAATATTTCACTTGTTCTGATGAATGCTCAATAATCCAGGTAGAAAAATCTAAAAAAGTTAAGTCTGATCATCTGAACATTCAAAAAATGTTGAATGTCCAGAGGACCAGATTTAACTTTTTTAGGTTGCACTTGTCCATCTTCTTTTTGAACTAATTGGGTTTTCTTTTCCGACAAACCTATGAATTTGGGTCTGTGCATTGAAAACTTGAGAATCTGTTAAAACATAATTAATGTGTATATATTTGGGTTTGAATTTCAAACAAAATCTGAGGGCAGTAGACTTTTCGATATTAGTACAGTAAAAAAACAACAACAATTGCTGTTTGTTGGTTTGGATACATTTACTGGTATATTTGAATCCAAACTGATTGTTTGTACATCTATGCTAATTTTAGAAAAAAAACATGTTTGTTGTGCACACAAGTATATTCTTGTTCAGTTCTAAGATTTTATATGATGAGACAAATAATATGTATTTGGTTCTGTTAGTACGTTAAAGGCTAATCTTCAAGGTAGGACCTTAAAAACAGAACAACTATGAATTAAAAAAAGAAAGTCAAGAGAAAGTTCTTCTAACTAAAATTTATATGTCACAATTTAGGTTTGCAAATATGCACCTGAATGATGGTAAATGGACGGCACTTATATAGCACCTTTCTATCTTATCAAGATACACAAAACACTTTACACTGCAATCTGTGTCCTCATTTACCCATTCATACAGCACTCTACTAGATCTGTACAAAGACCACTCAGTGTTTTATCACATTCATACACAATGGGACACTCATAGGAGGCAATGATGGGTTCAGTGTCTTGCCCAGGGACACTTCGGTATGTGACTGCTGGTGGAGTCGAACCCCAACTCTTGCATTGGAGGACGACTGCTCCACTCAACCACAGCCGTCCGATGATTCTTCTTGAACCACAAATGTTTTTCCCCCATAACACTCCACAATATTTGTTGACAACCAAAATAATAAATTAATGAATAAATAAATAAATAAACATAATCATAAACACATTATAACACCTGTCAAGCACAGTGGTGGTGGGATGATTATTTGGGATGATTTTGCAACCACAAGATCTGGACATCTTGTAGTCACTGAGTCAACCATGAACTCCTCATTTTTACCCCAACTGATTAAAATGTAGACGTTGTACCTGCATGTTGTGTGCTCTGTTGTTTCCCTGGTGGTGACCACAGGTGTCTCTTCCCAGTGGTGGAGACAGCAGGTAAGGGGTGTTAGGAGATGAAGGCTGGGAGCTGCTGGAAGTTTTTCCAATTGGAGAATCCTGTGGAGAGCACTGTGGACTGAGAAAAGCTGACATGGTGGATGGGCTGCCCGAGGCAGGACCTGTGTCCATACACTGAGGCCCAGCAGAGCCAGGACCCCTCATATTTGGGATGGGGTTGTTACAGTGTCCCAGTTCCTCAATGCAGCTGCCAGAAGGGCTCTTGAGCTGTTTAGGAGATGACAAAGGACAGCTAGAAGACATGGGCATGGGCTCCTGCTTGATGGTCACCCCAGAAAACTGCTGCCCCATCATGATCTGCTGCTGGTGTAGCAGGGAGGGGTGAGATGGAGGAGAGCTGTCCTGGGTGGCTCCATAGCAGCGTTTCCTCTTGTGAAGCTGCATCTTCAGCTCTTCAACCTAACAAACACAACCACAGAGGGAGATCAGAAACATTATGCATAACCAGTGAAGTTGGGCATTTTGTAAAATGTAAATAAAAGCAATACAACGTTTTGTAAATCTCATAATCCTTATTTTCCACATTGTAAACATACACAAACATTCAAATAAACACAACAGATGTTCAAACTAATAAATTGTACCATTTGCAGGAAAAAATAATGTAACTTTAAATTTTATGGTAGCCCATCCATCCATTATCTTCCTCTTGGTCCGAAGTTGGGTCATGGGGGCAGCAGCTTGAACAGGGATACCCAGACATCTCTTTCCACAGTATATTAAAGTTTTGAACAGAATCTGTGACAACGGTCAGCCCTGGCAGAGTCCAACTCCCAACCTGAAGGGATCTGACTTACGACCAACAATGCAAACCCAACTCTCACACTGCTTGTACTGTATAGGGATCAAACAGCCTGTAGCAATGGGCCCCAAATCCCATGGTAGCAACATTTCTCAAAAAAAATTGGTGCAGAGCCATGTTCACTGAAACATCCTCTCTCATTTTAACAACAGTCTGTAACTGGAACTGAAGAGACCAGATTCTGGAGAGTTTGGATGGGGATGCCCCATTCTTGTTCTTGTGTAGGTTTATGGCTGTTTAAAGAAATGTGTCTTTTCTGCTGGGTTTTTTGTTTCATGATGCACAAAATATTTTGAATTGGTAAGAGGTCTGCACCAGTGGTGTAGTCTACATTTTTGTAGTGGGTATACCACGGTAAAGTTAGTTTTACGTTGGACATTGGACACCGTTGAAGCCACGGAGTGTGAATGTCCAACGTCCAACGTAAAACTTACTACGGTCGGTCTGTACCACAGTCGGTCTGTATACTGTGCTTAGAAATCAAGGTGCACTGGTTAGTACAATGTAGTCATCCATTTATTTTGATTTTTAAGCATATTGAACATTTACAAATTTTACTGATGTTTATATTTGAATAAATGAACAACAAACTTTGTACAGCAGTTGGCTTTGTATTAAAATCATGTTATAGAATTTATAAAACAGTACCAAAGCAAAGCATGTTCAAGTATTAAGTAGCAAGTACAGAAGTATTAATTATACAATAATTTGTTGGATAAGTGAATGTAATAAACAAGTGCTGCATAATTATAAATTGTTACAGAAGCATTTAACTGCCATTTAATGTATCAATGAAATGTGCCTAATGATATATCATGTGTCATCGGGCACTTTTAAGTGGATATATTGAAATTCTTTATCTTTTCTAGTGCGTATACACTGTATGCCTGCGTATCGCGTAGACTACACCACTGGTCTGCACTGCAGGCAGACCAGTTCAGCAGCAGGACTCTTCGACTGTGAAACCATGCTGTTGTAATGGATGCAGTTTGTAGTTTAACCTTGTTTTGCTGAAGTATCAAGGCCTTCACTGAAAAATGTGTCATCTGGATGTTATTCTAAAGCATGTATATATTTTTCTACATTGATTGTGCCTTTTCTGATGTGTAAACTTTCCAGGTAGAGGCGCTTATGCACCACCACACCTTCAGAGAGATCCTTTTTTTAATGTTGCACTGATATAGGCCACCCTGTGATGGACTTGCGACCTGTCCAGAGTGTACCCCACCTCTCGCACAGTGATTGCTGGACATGGGCACCAGTGACCCCGGCGACGCAAAAAGGAAGAAGCGGGTAAAGATAATGGATGGATGGATAATAACAGGGTGGACAGTCCCTTTCTTCTTTAGCTCAGAGAATGTGTCATTGGTGGTTTCCCAAAATAAATTATATTTTTTAATTGTCTGACCACATTCATTTTAAATGAGCTTTAGCCCAGAGAAGACAGCAGCATCCTGGATTGTGTTCGCATGTGATATTTTCTTGGCATGGTAGACCTTTAACCTACATTTGAGGATGTTACAGCAAATACTTTTTACAGTGATTGATTTTTGGAAGTGTTCCTGTGTCCATGTGGTGAAGTCAGAACAGAATCAAACCTGTTTTTAATGCAGTGCTGCCTAGGGTCTCTAAGATCACAGGTATTCAGTTTTGACTTAGGACCTTGTCCTTTGAGCTCAGAGGTTTCTCCATATACTTAACATATTTTCATTGTATTATAAACTGTAGATAATGGGATATTCAAAGTCTTTCCAATTTTCCATAAATGAACGTTATTCTAAAATTGGTTTACCATTTTTAGACACAGAGTTTTGCAGACTGGTGAACCATGTTTACTTTTGATAGACGTAGTCTCTCTAAAATACTCCTATACTCAGTCTTTTTAATGACTTTTTGGCAATTAGCCTTATTATTCAAAAATGTTCCTCTATTAGTTTCCTATTTGTAATAATTTTAGATTTTTTTGTTCCCTGTCACAAGCTCTTTAGATGTGTTTTTCTTTTTTGGAAATGCATTTGTAATAAATTGTCTTCTATCACTTAACACAAACTTCAAGATGGTTGTTTACCTGTCTTTGCTCCTGGTGCAGTTTCCATGTCAATTCTTCTATCACCTTCTGCTTCTCCACTAGCATTTTATCCTTCTCAGCCTCCAGACCATCAGGACCACCATCCTCCCCCATCCTCTGGTTTCCCCCATCCTCGATGCCAAGCTGTGTTGGGGATGGCTGCAGATTGAGTTGGTTTGGTGAAGACATGGGCATGTCACTGAAGCTGTCAGGGAGGGAACCACTAAGAGATAGCTCGGAAGAGGCTGGAGAGATAGGTGGGGTGGAAGAAGTGCTGGGATATGGGTAATATCCCCCCTGCGACATGGTACTGGAGGACGACGGGGACTGGTAGGAGTTCAGGGATCTTGTGGGTGTGACAGGAAAAGTCAAGGTGGTGATGTCAGAGGATCCTGGAGGTGAGGAGTCTGCAGGGGAATCTTTAAAGGGTCTAAGACGCTCAATCAGGGCCGTCTTGGTGCCTGAGACAGGCATGCCCCGAATACGCAGGTGCTGCCTAAGCTCAGAAACCTTACAGTGCAAAGGAACAAAATATATTTTAATTATAGATATTTGTTTACCTTTTAAAATGATCCAAGTTTAATTAGTGCTAGCACCTACTTTGAGATCATCCAGATTAGCAGGAAGTGGCCAGGCTTTGACAGAAGACACATTAGTTTGGTTGGAAAATGTGTTCTTGACTGGAGATGATGAGTTACTGTTGACTGTGCTGGATGGACTGCTGGAACTACAAGGTGACAATTGCTCGCTAATGCCTCTGCAACAGGAAACAATCACATGGATTAGTTAGAGTTCAAGTAAAAACATATATTTTAATACAAATAAAATTGCCAACCATTATTATTTTGTGGTTACCCAAAGGGAAGGGTCAGTTACGCAGCTTTCAAATGTGCAGAGCAAGGCTCATAACTCTGATCACCCACAGTTGAACTGGTTAAGTAGAATTAAGATACAGGTCCAGGACTGAAGCATATCAGAGACTGAATATATGTATATAATATATAAGTATAACCACTAAAATAGCTAATTGAACTGGGCAATAACTAAACCACTGGGTCTGAGCCAGAAATGTTTGGTACTCAAGGACATCAGTTGTGTTTTTAAGTGAAAAACTTCTCACAGAGACTCGGTTCAGTATTAAAACAGCAACTAACAGTAACACAACCAAAACATCATCTCATGTGGACCAGAACAACAAAGACGCTAAAAACCCTTAGGAGAGAATGGCTTGCATGTTAGTTCATCTGGCATAAATGGAACAACTCGAGCCTTGTCCTCATGGACAAACAGTTTTCCAAAATAATCTTTAGTTTGTCATTTATAAAACTATTATTGTAAATATAATTATAGTAGTTGTACTAGGCCCGTATGTGACGATGTAACACTGCTGAAAAAAACAAATACACCAAAACTAGAAACAAAGATGTGAAGCATGCACATAAAGCTTACATAAAGCTTAATGAGTCCCCAAGGCTCAATGGAATTAACCTGTATAAATAAAGGTTGAATGAATGAAAAAAACATGTTGAGAGTGAAATGTAAACACAAGAAGAAAAAGACGTCCTTGCCCTGGAGCCTGTTTTTGGGGCTCCTAATATGCAACTTCTGTGTGAAAACGAGGCTGAAAAAAATTGAAACCCTTTGATTATTTACAGAAACTTTTCCGATGTAGATGGTCCTCGAAACCTTTAAAATATGAACTTTTTTAAATTGAGGAAGCTCCTTTAAAGGAAAACCATTATCTGTAAAAAAAAAAACCCAAACCCAACAACAAACAAACAAAACAAATCCAAATGTGGTCCAGTTGTATTTAATAGGACTCACTAGAATTCCCTTGGGACATAGAAATTCAGCAGCTGAACATTGTTTTTATCAGATTGTTTTGGGTTGTTGGTCAAGAAACTTGCAGTATTTTAGGCCTTCAGAGTGTGACCATAAGTCCATGACTTACTTCTGGGTGTTGCCTGCTGGGTGAGGCTGGTAGCTGAAGGTGGGCTGTCTCTGCTGGATCTGGGTCTGCAGGGTGTGTGTGTGCTGTGTCTGAGAGTGAGTGTGAGCGTGTTTCTGCTGGCTCAGAATCTGCAGCTGCAGGAAGAGCTGCTGTTGTTGAAGAAGTCGGGCGTAGGCTGAGTCCATGGGCGGAGGGGACTTCTCTGCCTTCTGGTCCGGAGGAATGTACTGGTGGTACTTAAGCTTCTTCACTTTGGGCTTCACATCTTTGGGCTTCTTGTGTCGGTTCTTGTCTGTTGTTTTGGACTGTTCAGGGTAAGAAAGGTTAGGTGGTCTTTTAAAAAATAAATATAAAAAGAAAGAACATTTATGAATGACCAGCTAACCTTTACTATGGCAGGAACTGGTACTGGGGGAGTCACCTGGCTGTTGTTGGTCCCAGACATTTGTTCCTCCTTGCTTTGATCTGTTGACTCCTTATTTGCACCTCCCTGTTCACAGATGAAAACAAACAACAAATAAATTATATCCTGCCACTGAAAGACCAGTAATAGCAGTCACTGTTGCAAAACTTCAAGCTTCTCTTTGCAAATGTTTCCAAAAAGCTTTGAATGGGCCTTCAACCAAACAAAACACTAAATGATTCAGACAGAACATTTAGGTGCCCCAGGTTTCAAAAGATATAAATATCTGGACTCTGATGTGAAATTTAGTCCAGCGATTGCTGGTGACAGCATTCTTTAAAATGAGATTGTCTGAGTGAAAGGTCAGCAGTTATGTCATTGAATGAGTTCAGTTCTGACCAATGGATTGAGGATTCTGAATCAGAACACTTATTATCCTTGCGCAGTGAAATACAATGAAATTACTTTCCGTACAGCTGTCCTGATGGACAGAAGTGTACAGGGGGCCAGCTACAGCTTCAAAGATGCGCTGGAAATGGAAGATGGAGTGGATAGGTGCAGTTCACATTACAGCCACAGGAGGGAGGCAGAGGCAAAGGAGCAGCAAAAACAGCCTGAGGGAAATCAAAAAGAAATCAAAAGACAGAAAAGTTACCTGTTGTGGGCTGGTGAGCACAGGTGAGGAAGAGGAGGAGGCTGCACTGCCAACAGCGTCGGACGAAGGGCAGGCTGAGAACTGGGACTCATCACTGTGGTGCTGATCAGGAGACAGACTCTCACTGCTGCTGTCCTCCTCAAATGCATAGGAATCCTCCTGCTTCGGGAACTTTCCGTGGTTAACTGTGAGGAAAGCAGACGTAGAAACAGCTGATGAATGTTGTCAGTTATGAGACTGAATGAGTCAGATCACAGACGTAGGGTCTAAACTCACACCAATGTCACATATCAAAAGGTAGAAAGGTGCTGTACCTCATGATCAAAATCACAAGAAACAGTGTGCATATTCAACAGTAAACTTCTACATTAAAAACCAAGACACATAGTATCCAAGTTAATTAAACATAGGCTATAAACTCAGGCATTTGTTGTCTTTTCCAACTAATTCAGCTCACTGGTAATCCTTTTACTGCTATCCTCATTGATCACATCTACAAATAAATAAAAAAAAACTGATAAAAGTACAATTTAGATCTACAAACCAAGTGAAAATGTAACAGGCCTGCAGAGTCAGACACAGTTTGAAAGACATAATTATTGTATTTTATTAAATTGGTTTATTTGACTTTTATTTCAAGATGTAAGGAACAACAAACATTTAAAGAAAAGCTGTCCAAATGTGACCAAATTACTATTAAAACGAACAGGATCTTGGTAACTAAAACATTAAAGACACTTTAAAATAAAATAAACTGCATCTAAAATGGACAAGTTCTAATTTAGAATCTTACTTATTTCACCTGTTTTCACAAACACTTGTACAGAAAAACCTGTTTAATTTACCACATTCGAAGAAAAAAAACTATTTTAATTTCCCATTAGTCAAAAAATAAATAGAAAAGGGAAAAATCACTCAGTAATTTGTTGTTCTCATTTTTGTTTTCTGAAAACTTGAATGCTTTGAAATTTTTATGAAAGGGGTCATGTTGTAAATAATATTAATATTTTTTTAGAAAGTTCTCAACAGTATTACCTAAATCAATTCACTTCTATTCAGTTTATTTATATAGCACCAAATCACAACAAAGTTGTCTCAGGGCACTTTACAGGAGCATCCACATACATAGAAAAGCTAATTAGTAAAGTTCTGTATCTAAGGAATTCAGCAGACAAGTTGAATCTTGGCTTCGTTGCAGTCTCCCATCCTGAGCAAGCACAGTGGCAACAGTGGAAAGAAAAAACTCCCTTTTAAAAGGAAGAAACCTCCAGCAGAACCAGGCTCAGGACAAGCGGCCATCTGCTTTGACCGGCTGGTTTAAAAGGGCAGAAAGGAGAGACAAACTAACACAGAATGGAAGGTCCAGGTATAGGTCCAGGTTTACCTGAAAGACAAAAAAAATGCATGTTAAGGATAGAAAAAATAATTACAAATAAAAAACAGGTTGAGCAGAGTAAGTAAAGACAGTAGCAGAGTGAAAAAGTGTAGTCAGTTTGTTCTCAAGCAGTCTAAGTCTATAGCAGCATAACTAAGGGACAGCTCAGGAAACCCAAGCCGACCCTAACTATAGGATTTAGCAAAAAGGAAAGTCTTAAGCCCAGTCTTAAAACTGGATAATGTGTCAGCTTCACGGACAGAGATTGGAAGTTGGTTCCACAAGAGAGGAGCCTGATAACTGAAAGATCTGCCTCCCATTCTGTTTGTGTAAACTCTAGGAACCACAAGTAAACCTGCAGCAAGAGCAAAGTGCTCTGTTAGGAAAATATGGAACAATAAACTCTGTAATATAAGATGTAGCTAGGTTGTTGAGAGCTTTGTAGGTTAGAAGTAGGATTTTGAATTCTATTCTGGATTTGACAGGGAGCAAATGGAGAGAAACTAAAACTGGAGAGATATGATCTCTCCTACTAACTCCAGTTAAGACTCTGGCAGCAGCATTTTGCATCACTGAAGATGTTTTAAAGAAGTATTTTGACACCCAGATAATAAACCATTGCAATAGTCCAGTCTAGACATGACAATGCATGGACCAGTTTTTCTGCATAATTTAAGTTGTTTCTAATTTTAGTGATATTACGCAGGTGGAAGAAGGCAGTTCTAGTAACGTTTTTAATGTGGGGGCTAAAAGACATGTCCTTATCAAAAATAACACCAAGATTTTTAACATTAGAGCTTGAGGACAGATTAATGCCATCCAAGGAAGGCGAAAGACTGACAAATTTATTCCTAAAGTGCTCAGGTCCAAAAACCAAAACCTCAGTCTTGTCTGTGTTCAAAAGGAGAAAATTAAGGGTCATCCAGGCTTTAATGTCTTTAAGACATGCTTGTAGTCTAAGTAACTGATTGGATTCATTGGGTTTAATGGACAAATATAATTGTGTGTCATCAGCATAACAATGAAAATGTATCCCATGCTGTTTAATAACTTTACCTAATGGAAGCATATATAAAGTAAAGAGTATCAGCCATGAAATTAGTCATAGAACACAAAGTGCAAAGAAAAAGAAAAGGCCCACCTAAAAATCAGGCTAATGGCTGGTCAGACATGTCCATGCTTTATAGAAAAATTTCAGGCTGATGGGGCCGGTGTTCCGGTTCTCCCTGGGTTGTTTGGATCTTTTGATCAGGGTTCCTGGTTGCGATGGCCAGTCCTTCGGTGGCTGCCGGGTTCCGGCGGGGGGGGTCTGCTGTTGTTGTGTGTGTGTGGTCATTGGTGGTGTATGGCGGTGATCGGGGGCGTGGCTTCACTTTGAAGGGGGGCTGGCTGGTCGGCCTGTTATGACATTCGAAGTGGTGGTGGTGGTGGGGGGATGCATCGGTGGCGTGCCGGGGCTTCTCCAGGCCTGTGGTGTGGGGCTGTTGGGGTGCCTGATCCTTGGTGCGCTGGGCCAGCCTTCCTTAGCTGCTGCTCCCTGCTGTTCTGGCCCCCGGCCTGGGGCCGACTTGCAGTCACTGTCGGATGGGTGGGGCACATGGACGGCCCGACAGAGCCTCTGTCGGGCTGTCTCTGTGTGCCTGTTTATGTCTTGGGTTGGGTTTTAGGTGGTCCCCTCTCTTGGATCAATTTGGGCCCCCCATTTATTGTGGGGTCTACTTCCCCCTGTCGTGCTCCCCTCTGGTGGTGGGCCACCCTCCTGCTGGTGTATTGGCAGCTCTCAGCATATGGGGCTGGGTGGTGGGGTGTGTGCAGACCCGCCCTGGTGGCTGCCTGCTTGGGCCTGGGTGCCCTGGCTCTGTCAGGCCTCTGTTTGGAGGTGGTATGACCTTGGGACTCGGGGCTCAGTGTCCATGTCCATAAATCTGTTGGGCATCACTTTGACACTCAGACAATAATTCTAAGTGTCACAATGTCGGACCGGACAAGGGAAAACAAAAAAAAAGAAAAAATTCAGGCCTTTAAAAAAACCCTCAAAAACAACATTCCAGTTTGAAAAAATATTGCATTAGGTAATAATAAACCTCTACACTTGCATGACTCTGTTTAGTTCCTTACTGGTATAACTTTTTGAGCATGACTTGTTTTATTTGTCTAAAATAACAGCACTTCAAAAATGACCAAATTATTTCCTAATAAAATAAAAAAACAAATTAAAAAAATGAATTCCATCCATCCATCCATCCATCCATCCATCCATCCATCCATCCAATATTTTTACCTGCTTCTTCATTTTCACGTCACAGGGATCACTGATGCCCAGGTCCATCACAGGGACACATAGAGACAAACAAGACAAACAACCATTCACTCTCTCACTCTCACCTAGGGACAATTTAGAGTTACCAACATGCATGTTAGCATGTTTTTGGTCTTTGGAAGGAAACGAGTACATGAAGAAAACCCACACATGGATGGAGAGAATGTGCAATCTCAACCCAGAAAAGTCCCCGGCTGGAATTCAACCTGGCAATGTTCTTGCTGAGAGGCAACAGCTCTACAAACTGCGCCACCATGCCCCTTCCCCACAAATAAACATAAAATCACTTAAACAAAATCTGTGAATTTTAAAACCATAAGAGTTATGACTGTTAGTTCAATGTCCGGATTCAAACCCCGGATCAGGTCAGAAGTATCACATGCTGCCTGTCTGTCACTGACACTCAGCCTGGAGGTGTTTCTCTGCACCGCTCAGAGACACTTTACCTCCATGGAGCTACTGATTGGCTGATCTGATTAGTGCCTTTGAGAACAGTTATCTAACTGAAAGTGCAAAGTTAGGGAAGAAGGGGGGTTGGAACAGGCAGAGCAGACTCTGGTTTTAATCCCAATACCAGGCTTGCCCTGTTCAACTCTGATCTTGCCGTGCACACACACCGAGGAACACACTGTGTTGTCCTGAACCCTGTTTTCCCTCACCTGTTTGGATTTAACTCTCAGGAGACACACACACACATTTGTTGTGTTGATATGTGCGTGTTTTAAATTAGATTTTTTTTCCTTCATTTTTTTAAATATAATTTTTATGTTGAGCAAATGTTGGGAATAGCAGTGTCCTCATAAACCACCAAAAAGTCCCCTTTACTTTATAGATTATTAATACGAGTGTGTGTGTGTGTGTGTGTGTGTGTGTGTGTGAGAGTGTCTTTCTCTCCTAGTCTGTAACTCTTTAAGATAATTTCATGTCAGCATGTGATTGAGTTGGCACAAATCCAGGAAGTCAGAAGCATGCATCCACATCCACTTTTCAAGTGACTGGAGACCATTGCAATCACAGTGTGTGTGTGCTTGTTTATGTTACTTTGTAAGGCCCATTTTTCCAACTTATACTGCATTGTGAGGATCAACTGCTTGATATGGGGCCCAAAGCCTGGACCTCATAAGAATAAGTGCTATCGGTGGGCTAAGGGTTGTTTAATGTAGCTGTTCTTTTGTTTAATTTTTTTATATAATTTCTTCTATTTACTTTTTCATTTTATATGCTTTTTATATGATTGTCTCAGAGCCAGAGAGTCGGAGTCAGAGATTTTTTATTGTCGTTCGCACCACATGTGGTACATGTGGTGCGAACTAAATTATGTACACAGGGTCCCAGTTACATCCAACAATAAAAATGTAAAAGAAAAACAATGATAACATCTAAGATATGAACTAAGAAAAACATAAACTAAAAATACACTAAGCACTAATAGCATAAAAATTAAGTCGAACAGCAGCACGAACATGACCATGAGTCTGTGTGAGCAGATG